CTAAATAAATTTTTTAAACAAATAAAGTTTTTTCGTGCAGAAAAAAAATTTAAAATACGGGAACTCATGTTTTGTGCGACTTAAAGGAAACCAACTGGTTTTACTTCCTTTCTGTATGATAACCCTGCCTATTCTAAGTCTTCACATGTTAACGTGATAACAGACGTTGTAGACTATTTAGAATTTAAGATAGGCGACTGAACCACATAACACTCCTATACCACAATACCCGACGTTCCTTAGGGTTATGTCGCATAGGACACTTTTGTAAAGTATTCAATTCTGAAGAAACCCCTCCATTGGCCATGATTATACCACCAAATGCGTCTGATCTGTAGAAATTTTATGAAAAAAATTAAATTTTATCAGACTTATCATGAGTTTCACTTTCCCCGAACCAGATCAATTTTCACTTGTGGTTTCTATGGATTTACTATGGGCGGATGACAACTTTTCGGAGGAATTTTTTTCGGGCGAAACTCAGGATAAGGCATTACGTGTACTTAAAACGGAGAATCTTTGCACTCCTTGGTCGATATTAATATCCAGTTCTGGCAAAATATATTTTTTATTTTCACTTTTATTTCAACATATTTTGATTAAAAGAAAAATAAAATATTTCACACAAACAACAAAAAATATAATCGATAATTGCATGAGGCTATTGCCTGAAAATTTTAAAATGCACTTAGTGGCATTGTGCTACTATGATAGACGGCCGAGTAATCATAGTCAACTTATGTACAGTAGACTGCATTACTCCCCATACAAAAAAGCGGTACTTTTTTCCCACTGGAATTATAAAATCTATTATATTTTAAGACTTCCACCAAAATATCTCGTAAAAATATTAAGATTTACGATTTGATAATACCTCCAAAAATTGAGTTTTTTTAATAAAAACGGGTTTTCTTAGTATTTTTTGAAAAAATTACCTCAGATGACTGAACAGTTTAAAAAGTTTGCTTAAAAATATTGGTTATTTAAGTTTTTATTTAATATTTTAGTAGAAGTCTTAACCTAGTATGGTAGTCCCGCTGGAAAAACCGCAACTTTTTTGTTGAGGCAGCCTAATGTACAGTAGTCGAAAAATTTATAGCCGCGCCATATTTTAAATTTTAAGTTTTAAAATATTATTTTGCTGTTATTTAATTTTGGTTAGTTTTTTATAGTTCATTCTTTAACAGCATCTGTATAAATACAAGTTTAAAGACAGAGTCACACGATTGGGTATTTGCCGCCTACGCAGAAAAAGTTCTGCTCAAAATACTTCCGCCCCTTTTCCGGCGACACAGAAAGGAAAATTCTACTTAGTGAAGGTTATAATTCCTACACCCAAAAAAACTTCTCTTAATTGAAGAAAGACATTTCTTCAAAATGATAGACTACATCCACGGTTCCATATGTTCGTGTACGTTTTTCCACATTCCAAAGAAAAATTACGCATTCGGGAGAATTTTTTTCTCATTCGGAAGAATTTTCGACCTTTTCTTTGATCCAGGGATGGATTTTTGGTTCAGTGTAAGCGCAGCCGAAGGCCGCCTACGCAGAACGAAGTTCATTTTCATGTATGTACTATTTCGGTTTTTGTCATATGCATTACTTCGGGTTTGTGTCGAAACTGTGCATGTATGCATTACTTCGTTTTTCTCATATGCATTATTTCGGTTTTCAAACGAAAGTGTGCATATGCATAATTTCAGTTTTTCTAATATGCGTTATTGTGGTTTTCAACCGAAACTGTGCATATACGCATTATTTCGGGTTTTTCGTATGCATTATTTCGGTTTTTTCATATGCATTATTTCGTATGCACAGTTCCCATATGCACAATTCCAGGGTACCGGTCTCGTAAGGTGACGCCAGGAAAGATATTTCAAAACCTGTATTTATGCTCTGATTTTTTTCACATTTGGCAGGTTTAGTTGAAACGTAGTAAGGCAAAGATTTGAAAGAAATTGAACCGCTGGTGGCGCTGATGTCAAAAGAAAAAGTACGGTCGACATAAAATGTTTTCTTCCATTTTAAAAATCCGTTCAAGAACAATATTAACAAAAATTTTTAATGGAAATTTTAGTAACGTAACGCCAGATAACGTCATGTCAGATAATTCAGCTGATAAAACAGAAAAGATTTCTACATTTAAAAACTTGGAAAATAAACCTTAAACATTCAGCATTTAAGTTGCCACTCAATATGCAGTCCAGCATTACTCCAACATGTAAAATCATTATCTGGGATGAATGTACCGTGGCTCACAAAAAGTCGCTTAGAGCCTTCGATCAGACGCTAAAAGATCTGCGAGGTAATGATGAGCTATTTGGGGGAGCCCTTATTTTGCTGGCTGGTGACTGTTATGTAATGGGACTAGACTTTCTGTTAAAAATGTGTGCCCAATGTTACAGAAGCAACGGTCCTGAATAGTAAATCAAAAGGGGAAGACATTTTGATTCCATAAATTCATATGATACCAAGCAATATGCCGTTTGAATTCAAGCGTTTGCAATATCCTGCCCGCCTTGCTTTCTCAATGATAATAAATAAGTCACAAAGTCAAACACTTAAAGTTTGTGGATTAACCTTGGATAATCCATGTTTTGCGCATGTTTAGTTATACGTTGCATGTTCTCGAGTGGGACAGCCAAACAGAAATGGAAGAAGAAAAATTATAGTATATCCTAAAGCGTTAGAATAAAATACTGCTTTAATATAACAACTAAATTATGCTCAACGGCATAGCAACGCGGGCTGGGTTTTTGTTAGTTGTTTACAAAAATCTTAAAAGTGAAAACTCTCACTGTTGGTCATTTTTCTAAGAGCTCCCAAAGGACCTATAGGGGACCAAGGCGGTCGACAGGGTGTATTTTTATAAATGGCGGTTTATGCCCTCTCCTTTCGCCCCTGCCCCTTTAGCCGCCACCTATGTACATATGGGATGCTGGCATTTGCACGATATATCGTACACATTTTTTGCAGCTTTTGGCGATTTTTAATTTTTTATTGGAACGTTGTCACATCTCAAAAAGTGAATCTCATATTCAAGGGATCTTTTGTGTTTTCAAAATAAAATCTTTGAAAAATCAAAACAAAACAATTGTTTATATATCTACATATTTGCATTTTTATCAGACCCTCTGATTAAAAAATTCATCTTACAATGTCATATTAGCAGCCAAGAATGCTCAAAATCATAAAAATCAATATCCATTCGTCGCCCCTATGCCAGAAACATGATTGTGTAAATTTTCAAATTTTGGGAAATCAAGTTTGAAAGTTTTTTTTACGAGACTTACCTCTACATTGGCGGCCGCTGTGGTGTAGTGGTAAGCAATGCGCGCTTTCACTACGCAGCACCTGGGTTCAAACCCTGGTCAAAGCAACATCGCAAAAAAAATTTAGAAAAAAGGTTTTTTCTTAACCGCGGTCGCCCCTCGGCAGGCAATGGCAAACCTCCGAGTATATTTCTGCCATGAAAAACAGCTTCTCATAAAAATAAAAGCCCCGGTCGGAGTCGGCGTATGTGACAACATCAAGGCGCACGCCACAAATCGGAGGAGAAGCTTGGCCAAACACTAACATATGTGTAAGCGCCAATATTGTATTGTTATTATTAACTCTACATTTTATTCTATTAAAATTGTAAAATATGTGGCTTCCATGTACGCATGGTAGTCTGGGTTTTGGTATAACACAGATTATATGTCATAGAACATTCAAAGTTTAATCAAGTCAAGCCAATAGCTCAAAACTGATAAATTTGCACATTCATGCTTCTGGCATAAGGGTGACGCATTCTTAGCTTTTATTCACTTTTTATACAAGTTTTTGGATAAAAAAATAAGCAACTCATCAAAAAAGTGTTCGATATATCGTACAAATGCTGGGAAAGGTTGCTGGTCTGCTATGGTGTTATACATAAATATGTATATAGATACATTAGATGTAATAACTTTGCAAGACTGCTGTGCATCGCAAAAATATTTTCTATGCCAAAAATGTAATATTCATTTATCTATTGAAAAATACTTAAGAATAGAAATATGATTTAAGCTGAAAATGCGTTTTTTACCAAAAAAGCCACAACGGGTGCGTTCAGAAATGCATCAAGCCAAAGCATCAGAGTCTTTTATTTCTAAACTATAATTAATGGAAATATCTCATATGCGCAACTAAGTTCAAATTCGGCTTTTAACCGTGGTTGCGCATCTTTGACATTTCCATCAAGTATAGTCTAGAAATAAAAGAGACTGATGCTTTGGCTTGATGCATTTCTGAACGCACCCAACTATTCCTTTCCCTAACTTTGTATGACATATCGTACGAATTTCAATGAGCTGTAGACCATTATAATTTTATTATTATTTTAGACAAATTTAGTTTTGATATTTTTGGAAGCCTAGTTTAGAAAATGGTATCAAAGGGATATGGGCGAATCCGAGAAATAGTCAACCAAAATCGCAAAAAATGCATGCAATTCGAATTCTCCCATTTTTGTATCAAAAAAGGCATAGTACAACATATTCTTATTTCATATTTCTTTTCAGATTTATTTGAGAAATCTGATTTGCCACTCTTACTTTTTGAAACAGAGCTCTAAATAGCATTGATTTAAACACTTTATCTTTTAATAAAATACAACAATATCGCTTTAAAAAAAAATCAATTTTTTCAACGGAAAAAAGAGTAACGTCCGTAACGTAACGTCCCGAACGCACATATACAATTGTTTTAAAGTTAATCCAACCTTTAGTTTGCTTTTATATCACTTTTTGTAAACTTTACTATTTTCTCTTCAAAGAATTTTTGTAGATCGTGCTCTCCATGCATGACAATTTGCGCAAATCGGTTGACTTTGATGGTCATATCAAAATCGCTTCCTTTTAAGTAACGGCCGAACATAAATTTCGAAGGCAAATACACCGACATTAACACAAATTAAAATTTCCTATAAACCCTCCCTTAAACCACAAAAAATTGTTAACTTATAATGTCTTTGGCTGCAAAAAAGTTAAAAGAAACGTCCAAATATAACGTCCGCAACGCTAGGATTTGCCCATATAGCAAAGTTTCTTCCCACACTTTATACTTTTCCTGCAACTAAAACTGTTATAGTTGATTTCCACCAAGCTTTAACTGCAGTTTATGCCTACTGAAAAAAAAAATTACAACTGGAAGGTGGTAATTCCACCTATTAAGCAGAAGCAAACGAAAGGCAAAAGTTAAGAAATGAACCTTGCCTGTTACTCCATGTTAAAATTAATGGCACATATCTGAGCTCTTAACTGCAGTTAAGCCTTTGGTAGAAATAGGCTATTAAACCGTTTGCCTGAATTCTAATAAAACTCTAAAGGAAACTATATTCAAAATACAATCCACAACCGTATTACTTTGCATTTAATACACCATCTCCTTCGAGCTAATGTCCCACTATTTAATCATTGAATGATATTATATTAATTACTGCATATATATACATGCCCGTATCTCTAAAATTTAGATTCTAAATGTGCATACTTACGTATATACATACAAACATAAACACATTAATACTATCATATGATTACGTATCAGTGTGAATTGCCGCATCCATGGTTTGAGCTATTAAATACTATGAAGTTATTGAAATCGTTGGTTATTACCTGCAATGAGGCACAAGGTGAAAAACATCATTAAAAAATGCTTTTTAAGTGATAAAAAATGGAAGCAAACACAGCAAGCAAGCCCTATATACATATTCAAGTACACACCTACATACATCAGTGCCCATGCATACATACATACATATGTACATATCGTCGTTTAAAGTACAAAACCGCGTATCAAGAAAATGCAAAACCGCGTATGTGAGGTTGCATAAATTATTTTTTAGAGAGTAAAAACACACATATTTCAAAGTGGTTATCTATTTTATAAAGAAATCGCATTTCTGGCTAATATATTTCAGGGCGAATGGATAAGGATTGAGCCAAGAGCTTGTGTAAGCAAATCCAATTTTTGGCAGCCAATGTCAGTTACGCGGTTTTGCAGAATGACGATACGCGGTTTTGTACTTTAAATGACGATATGTATACTTAACATATGACTTATAAGCTGCGAAACAATAATAAAAGAGATGAAATGGCTGTCACTTGCAAACACACAAACACTATTAGAATAAGGGCACACTTATGTATGTATGGATACCCAGCCAGCAGAGAAATGTACGTTTTGCGCTTTTCGTACATCTTTCGTATCCTGGAATGTATAGAAGTCGAATTAATTTTTTTTGTTTTGTTTTAATTTTTAGATAATAATCTTATCTGAAACAATAATTGTAAAATACATACATACATATTTATGTATTCAAACTGAACGTTGGAAAACTTTTTACGTATTCTGGCAGTAGCTGAGTGCGTAGTTTGCTACCATTGTTATCTTTCAGCTGATCTCAGGTTCAAGTGCCGTCAAACACAACACATTAAAATAGTATAAAAAGAATTAACGATTAAATACATACACGCTTATTCTTTGTGTGTTTTTAGAAATTATGAAAATCATCGGTGAAATCAGAATAAAAGCGTTTTCGACGAAAAATTTAATCAGAAAATTTTCAGCAAACAGCCGAAATCCCATCCGTTTCACAACCATTTTTGTGCCTTTCTAAACATACATACATACATACGTTTCGGATGAACGCTTTATTGGGAGAACGTATCCGAAAAAAACAAAACATTTTCGGATACGTTTCCGGATATTTTGCTGGCGGGGTAGTTATGTACACATTTACGTCTATATTAAGTAACTACCTGACAGGTGCAGGCACTTACAGACATACAGAAAAGTGGTTTTTACTCAAATGCATATGCACATATATGCATATATAATTTCATATGTATATAAATATATACAGTAGGGCGATCCAAATTGTTTTCCAGCCAGCCTCCAGAGCTAAAGAATATTCAGAAAACGGAGAATCATATTTTTATCGGCTAAAAATATTTACTTTTAACGCTTTTATAAGCAATTCTACAAAAAAATATAGTTTCCCTATAAGGATGTAAAATCATAGAAGTAAACTAGTTATAAGGGAAACTTCCGGCGGCACGGTTAAATATTAACGGAAATGGAAAATACGGGTCGCTTATTTTCAATATTTTTCAGGAGCGAGAAAATTCCAAAAAGGGTAGATATCCTGTGTATTTTGAGACCACCTTAATGTACAAACATGTGATATGTAATATTAGACAAATACCAGCACAAGGGTAGTGAACTCGTACTTCAAAATAAAAATGGAAAATGTCTACCCGCAAAATGTGGGTCATTTCCATCATAAAAATAGCGCCCACAAACACACAACAACGCCAACGACAAGAATCAAAGAGTAATACTATAAGTAGCGTCCACATACACTGAAGCATTTATACATGTTTATATATGTACATTAATACAAGTGTATATATGAACATAATCCGACTGTGCAAAAAAGTATAGCCTACTGTAGAAAACCTGTGCAGCAGAACTGGCACTATCTCCTCAGGTAGACACAAAGGGTGACTAGTTTTTCAGTAGTTCAAACGAGATTCCAATGGCTATGTATTTAGATATGAGTACACAGAAACAAATTTTATTCTCCTTCATTGAAATTGAAAACAAAATAATTTAAGCAAAAAACTTATTTAAGGCAAGCTTTTATTAATTTGGTTAATAAAAAGGGACGCCTGCAGCACTTAACACCCAAGTGTTTTTTGGGGCTATTTCCTTCCTTTAAGTAATATACTACGTTCTAAATATGAAAAAAATAGGACCATAAATACGGACTTTCGAAATATTTCGACTCCTGCGCCACCTATCGGGCAATTTTTTTGTGTGGAATTATTCCTTTTCATGCACGTAATATACATTCAAAATATGAACTATACCGGACCCTAAATATGGATTTTTCAAATATTTCGACACCTGTACACCTATCGGATTAGTTTATCTTTCCTATTGCATTTCCATCGAGTTCTGAGTTAAGTTTGAAGTTTCGAGTCGCTAGCTCAGCGTGAATTTGGTTAAAAATTTTTTGCAAGATTTGATTGCGCACAGTTGTAACATAATTAAAGCTTGTAATGGGTTTTTAATTATTTATGTAATATATTTTTTATTTATTTATTTTAAGCATTTGGTTAACTAGAAAAGGTACGATACATACATATTCACATACCTACTAGTAGAAGGATGAGGGGAAAAATAGCCACTGAAATATTTACCCACACTGGCAGTTTGGGGACAAAACTGTAATCATAGTGATGAGACAACGTAATGTCGAGGCCACGCAATGAGCGGCAAAGCGGGGAGCGGTTGAGCGGCTGAGCGGCTTCAAATTAAAACATATGAAATATTATTGAAGTGGCCACGCACTGAGCGGCATTTTTGTATTGCGCGGCCTCGACCTTAGGATGTCAATACTCCAAGTGGAAATCCGCATTTCATCCAGGTTCTGTTAGAGGATCCGAACCCCGGCGTTCCGATCGCTTTCACAGCACAAGTAAAATGCACTGGGGATGCAAACTTTCCAACCGCAAAGTATCATCAAAGTATTGGCATCAGATGTATATGTTAAAAATCACGTGCCGAGAGGTTAGATTTGCCTAATCATTCTCTGTCGCTAAACGAAACCCAAATTTATTAATTTAAGCAGTGACGAACTTACGAATTAAATGTAAACTTTATCGTACCTTTTCCTCTTTGTAAACGTTTATAAATTATTTTGGAGGTAAAGCCGAGTGCAGTATTCTGATACCTGAGCATGCTTGAGTGACATCAAGGATAAATGGCTTTCGGGCTAATGCTAGGGTCATCCCCATCCCGATAAAATATTGGGGAGACTTGGAAACGCGCGCTCGCTTCGTCAACATTCAGTCGACTGCATAAGCTAAATCAACAAATACCGATTCAGAAGTGAGAGCTCAAGGATAACGCATTCTCCTCCAACATCTCCAAGCTACACATGTATATACATTAGACCGCATCACCAAAAAAACTTGCGGTTTTTCCGCCGGGGTTACAAAATTTATTATATTTTAAGACGTCCACCAAAATATTTCGGAAAAATATTTAGATTTAAGCGAGCTGTACCGATTTGAAAATACCTCCAAAAATGAATTTATGAATAAAAATAGCTTATTAAAGAACTTTTTGAAAAAAGTCCGCTCAGATGACAAATTAGATTAATCTTAAAAAATCTGCATAAAAATATTTGAAAATCTTTATTGAATAATTTATTGAAATAAAGATTTCGTTTAAAAGGAATAGGAAGTTCCCTAACTTGTTTTAATTGAACTTTTAAAACCAATCTAAAATAGGATTAAAATAATTGATAATAAAATTAATTTTACTGGAAAACAAAGCGCGGGGTGCTTAGATTTTGTAGTCCTGCTATTGATAATACTCAGTATTACTAAACACCCTACGTTTTGTTTTCCGGTAAAATTACTTTTATTGTCAATGAAATCTGTATTTCTATAATTTTTTTTTTACTTTTTAGTCCACATTGTAATAAAAGCGAGTTTTTTGTTTTTTGCGGCCACCTCTTCGCGCGACCTCTAAGGATTTGGATGAGAATTGAAGAGATTGAAGTTCTAGATAACTTTGTAACGAAATTTTTAATGAAAAAAAATGTTTTTGTTCCTTCATTTTAGGGGTTTTAATTATACTGGAGTGCCAGCCACTGTCGAAATTCGACCGTACTTCTAGTTTTTTAAGACCCCTAGAAAGGTTAAGCCGTCGTTTAACTTATAATGTACAAAATTACTTGCCGGAAAACCTCCTTCTTTCGAACTAAACCTTAACTTAAAATTTTTATATCTTTGAAGGTCGTTGGCAGGACTTGGAATATAACCGATACATTCCAGTTTGTCGATAAATTTCGATAATTTGATACATATCGATAATTCAATGAATTTCAAGAACACTAAAATCCCTAAACACAACAATAAATATATATAACTTTATAAATTTCATTAACTTGACAAATTTCGCTAACCCATACATTTTTATAGCTCGATATCTATCCGCAAATTTCGACAACTAATTTTCTGCGTCTATAAATTTCGACAACTCAATTAACATTGGTCAACTTCAATAATTTTACACGTTGTTATAACTCAATAAATAATGATAACTTGATAAATTTCGCTAACTATAACCTTAGTCCCCTTATTAGCACTTTTTTGTTAAATTGATACCACATATATTAGAAGCACTTGTTTCCGTTGCAACTATTTCAGTGCGCATCATTGCCCATTTACTCCCAACCAACGAATCGCCGCTAAAGAAGCTTCACTTCGAAAATACAATACATTTGCTTACCCTTTCAGTTACCCTAACCCTTAAATACATATTTCTCACTGTCTCCATTTTCGTCTTTGTCTTCTCTTTTGCCTTTTCTTTCTTTTTTTCATCTTTATCATTTATTTCGTCATCTTCATATTTATCTTTATTTCAAAGCTTTGTTTCAAATGCGAAGTGAAACAACATGCGAAACATGTCAAATTGAACATGTTGCAGCAACATCTAAACACAAATAATGAAATGTTTAAACGACCGTTTTGCCTGTAATTTTCAACTAATTTAAAACCATAAAGACTCTGTTCATCTAGGGAAAAATGCCTTTCCAATGGTGTTCTTGGTTTTGAAATCGGTTCGGTAGAATCGCCAAATGAACGGAGACAAAATTTATGTTAGCGTATTAATATATACTAGAGTGCCAGTTACTGTCGAAATTCGACAGTTTTTCTAGTTTTAGAAGCCTTTGAGAGGTTTTCTAACTTAACACGTAGCAAAAGTTATACGGTACAAATTAACTAACCGGAAAATCTTCTGCTAAAACGTAACAAAATTTTTTTTTTTCTGAAAAGGTCTTTGGAGGACTTCGGTAGGACTTGGAATTGACCCGATACATTCAAGTTTATCGCTAAATTTCAATAATTTGATACATATCGATAGTTCGATGAATTTCAAGAACACTAAAATTCGATAACTCAACAAAATTCGTTAACTCGACCAATTTCGATAACTGTGAAATTCGATGGCTCGATAAATTTCGATAACTCAAAAATGTAAAAACTTTGGATACCTTTATAAATTTTTACTTTTGACATCTCCACATTTTTCGAAAACTATCTAAACATTTTGATAACTCGTTACACTCTTCTTCGCTTCGTTGAACCAACCAATTTCAGTAGATCAATAATTATCGATAACTCTGTAAGTTGAAAGAACTCCATGCATTACGACACCTCGATAAATTTCGTTAAGTCTATAAATAATGATAATTCAATAAATATCGATAACTTGATACATTTCTTTAACTTGACAAATTTCGTTAATCCCACACGTTTTTATAGCTCGATAACTATCCGTAAATTTGGACAACTAAGTTTCTGTGTCTATAAATTTCGACAACTCAGTAAACATTGATCAGTTTGAATAATTCGATACGTTGTGATAACTTAATAAGCATGGATAAGTTTCGATAATTATAAACTTCGATGATTCGATAAATTTCAGTAACCTTAAAGGCTGATTTTATTTCGATTCCTATCGGAAAATTTCAACTCTGTTAACCTAATTCTTTTGTACTTCTCATAGTCTCCATTTTCGCCTTATCTCAATTTTCGTTTTTATCTTCAGCTTTTG